GAGAGATATGGAGGGGTCACTTAAGGGAAAAAAACAGCCTTCTTAAAAAATATAAATATACCCCTTCAAAGATTCTATGTAGTGGTTCACAGGGAACTTTTTTCAAAAAGTAATTCCTAGTGAATAATAGCTTTTAAAACACTGCCCCCTAATGTGCATACGCAGCTTCCTCTGAAATGATAAGGGGACCTTACTAATAGAAATAATCAGATCCTTCCTCCCTTGAAATCAGTTTAACATTTTTGTCTTGCACACCAGATTTCATAGACTGAGGTGATTTCAATGACAAAACTGTCTGAGTGTGTGAAAGTAAATCTCCCAGCCATTCTACTATTACTCTCATTAGCAACAAGGCCAACATGTGAGAACAAGCAATTTGGGCTTAGACAGCACTCACAAGACAGCAATACCACTGAGAAACATCAGGAAGGTCTAGGATACCAATCATTACATGTGAAACTTTATACTGATATAATCAGTCTTATTACAAAATAAAAAGTAAATATTGATTACCAAGAATACCAAACTTCTACAAGAGATGAATTTTGCTTTATGTCCACATAAACTAATGATACGTAAGTGACTTTTCCTTCCAAAAGAATCTGCTGAAATTTAGACTTCCTGACTAATGAATTTGCTTATGACTTCCACAATTGCAAATATGATTAACAATAAATGAATGGTAAAGACAAAAATAATTTTGAAGTAGAGTTGTTCATTGTCTTGTAATCACAAAATCCATGTCAGCACTTGTATAAGTATGGAAAGCACTGAATCACTTAATACCAAGTCAAAAAGCCTAAATTTAAGCCCATCTGCTATTAAATAGCCATGTGACCTTAGGTCCCTTGGACCTTCTGGCTTGTTCCCTTATCAGGAAATAAATAAAAATGAACTGTATGGATGTTATTCTAAAGACTGTCAGGATGTGGGGATGGAGGGAATAACAGAATAACGAGAGGTGCTTTTTCAGACTACATATGTCTATTGCTATTGCTAGAAATCATATGATCCAGCCAGCAATGATGACACATGCCTATAATTTCAGCTATGGGGTGGCTGAGGCAAGAGGATCCCCGGAAGATATGCAGAGTGGACTGGGCTCCCAATCCACAACTTGGAGCTAAACCTAACCAGTGGGCATCAGCCAAATCCCAGCTGACCACATACATAAGAAAGAGAAATAAATATTTCTTTTCATATAAGATGTTCATATTTGTTGTCTATATAGCATTTTATGGTAATAGGATATTTCAGAAAATAATAATTTACCTATATGAATATTTTAGACCTCAATGTTTCTGTTGGATTTTGAGATTCTAAGGAAAAAAATCTCTCCTGTCACATATATATAAAACTGGTTATTAAAAAAAGCTGTGTTTACAAATCTATAAAACAGTTCATCTAAAAAGAGTCAGATCTAGAGAAAAAGAGTTATCAACCATGTAGAGAACTTGTCTCTCAACTTTATCTAGTATAGAGATTAATGACCAGACAGCTTTTCATCCTATCTAAAATACCATGCAAACATTGTCCTTACGGCTGAATTTATTAAGATAACCATCACAAAATATTACACTGTGAAAGGCAAAGTATTCAAATATCTCAATTAACCTGAATGCACAGAAATAGGTGTATTTTCATCATTATTTTATGAATACTAAATATTTTAACAAAATATTTTGTGGCTTTTTGCACTAAAGCAAGATTTTCAGGAATCTATTATAAATTTACTGAAACTTAAGGGGTAAAGTTTTTTTCTTAGTTTCTTTTTCAATCTTTTTAAATGTACTAGTTCCTCTCCTGGCCTTAGGAAAAGGCCCAAGATAAAAGATCTATGACAGTAATTGAATACTTACTTCATGGTATAAGCTCTTTTTGTACCTTAAAGCAATTATCATTGTATAGTGATATGGATAAACTGTAGAAGAAATAACAAACTAGGCCAAGTATTCACTCACCCCAGGTATGCTCTGGAAGTTTCTCTGGAAAATGTAAGCATAAGCTTTACCATTGATTCTTATCCATAAAAAGTGGAATGCAGAGAAAATGGCAGCTATTTAAAATTCTTTACTCAGGTTCAGATTATGCATTCATTGATTCAAGAAACTCTTGCTGAACCACTACCATCTGAATGGAAGTGGGAATAGAACAAGAGCCTACAGGGAAACAAGAGATAAGCAAGGAAAGAGAAAAATGCAAAATATGGACCAAAACACTCAACCCAGTCTCCTGGGATTAAGAGGCAATGATACCCAAGCTGAGCTCTAAAGGGAAATGAAAGAGCAAACAGAAGTGGCAGGAGAACCATGCTCTGAGCAATGGGAACATATGTGATGGCTTAGAAATGAGAGAAAGCAGAGAAAATTTACAACACACCAGTATGCTTTTTGCCTTTGTGGATACACTGTCTATGGTTTTAACCTTAAGCTGTCTTTGAAAATAAGTAATTTGTGTGCTTGGCTTCTAGGAGGTTCTCATCCTACTTTACTGACAAATCCTTTTCAATGTACTTCCCTGTATTGTAGTTATCACCCAAACATCTAGTCATTAGAGTGCCCTAGGCTCAACCCAATGGAGTCTCTTTGTTCTGTCTGTACTCACTCTCAAATGATCTCACCCAGGCTTCATATTTACTCCTAACTATAAAATTTCCAATCTCCTATGAACTCTTGACTCTTAATTCCAATCCTGTTTTCTACTTCTCCACTTGAATAGGCAACTCAAGCAAGACGAATTCAAAACCTGACTCTTGATATTTACCCCACAAAATCTCCTTTCCAGCATTTCTTATCTCAGGAAATAGTAATTCTATTCTTTGAATTGCTCAGGCAAAACTGAAAGCAGCATCTTTAATCTCTCTTTCACTGATGCTCATCTGTAAACCATCTGCAAATCCTATGCACTTTATCTGGAAAACACTCAGAATTCGTCACTCTCCAACTGCCTCCATCACTACTACTCTAACTCAAGCCACCAGTATGTCTAACCGGGAAAATTTCAACAGCTTCATAATTGTGCTTCTGCTTCCACCTTTGTCCTCTATACTGTAGAGTCCATAGTCCATTCTCAACACAATGGCTAGAGAGATCCCTTAAAAAGGTCAGATTGTATCATTCTTCTGTTCACAATCCTCCATTAGTTTACAATCCCACTTACAGTAAAACCAGAAAACACGTTTTTGTGATCTTAATAATCTACATCTCTCTGATTTTATTCCCATTACCTTGCTCACTCTGCTTCAGCCATACTGGCATTGCAGGTCCTCAACCATGCCCAGAACACTCTTAATGCAGGTCTTTTGTACTTGGTGTTCAACCTTCTGAAATCCTCTTTGGCAATACCTATGTGGCTCATTCCTTTACTTCATTCAAGTCTCCACTCAAATTTCACCTTTACAATGAAGCCACCTCTCAACTTCTGATACAAAATAGTTAATCTTTGCCCTGCTTTATTTTTCTCTCTAACTCTTATCTCTTCTACACCCAATGACTATAACCTAGAATATAAGTCTCCCAGAAAGAACAGGTGTGTTTTAGTCACTCCTGCAACCAGAACCATAAAATGCTGCCTGGCAGATCATAGGCCAGAAGTAGACCTTTGAAAGATGAATCAATAAGAACTAAAAATATTATGAATTTTTGTGACAAAACTATTAATATAATTTTCTATTTTAAGTAAAAGTCACCTGTCTATATTGCAACCTAATTAACTGGTATTTATAAAATATGTAAAAATAACACTAAATACTTTTTCCCCCAATAACCTAAAGACACACCCACATACCCATATACCCACACAAGAGTCAATGGCAAAGGTTGAGCACTAAGAAGACTTTACCGCATTCTTTTCCTTCCCTTGACTTGGTACTTGCAAATATATGGAGAGGATAGGTTGAGTTTCTATGTCATCTTAAAGCCAATTAACATTTCACCTGTAATTCATCTGTATTAACAACAGTACTTTGCAAATATTTATAAAACACCAATATAGAACACTGGTAAAACTATGGACAGATAATTCAAAGAAGAAATACAAACAGCCAATGCATTTACGAAAATGTCCATTTAGGTTAACATTCCTTAATACGTAAATGTTTCACATGCTAAATGTTTGGAAAAGGGAAAGCACAATCGCATCAAGAAATCCAACACCAGCAAGAAGTTTCTTTCTTTTTTTGTTTTTCCTCCTTCCCTTTTATTGGTACATTTTAGGTATACAATTCGTTTACATTTATCATTGGGTGTTTGTACCTGCACATGATGTATCTTGGTTCTTATTTTTTTCCCCATTACCTGTGCGCCCTTCACCCCCTCCACCCTTCCCTATTTACATAGATTTCATTTGCTTTTTTTTTCTTTTCTCATAGCTTTTCCTTTCCCTCTTTTCCTTTCCCCTTCCCCTCCCTTCACTCCTTCGTCTTTAGAAATCAACAAATAACAAATGCTGGTGGGGGTGTGGGGAGGAAGGAACCCTTCTCCATTGTTGGTGGGAGTGCAGACTGGTGTGACCACTGCAGAAATCAATACGGAGATACCTCAAAGAACTAGGGCTGGAGGTCCCGTTTGACCCAGCTATCCCCCTGCTGGGTATCTTACCAAAAGAATTAAAAGAATCATACCACAGAGATATATGTGCACCCATGTTCATAGCGGCACAGTTTGTAATAGCTAAAGCTTGGAAGCAGCCCAAGTGCCCATCAACTGGAAACTGGATAAAGAAGATGTGGGTTTTTTTAAAAATAAAATGGAGTACTACTCAGCCATAAAGAATGAAAAACTATAGAGTCATTTATAGCTAAATGGATGCATATCAAGGCCATGCTCTTAAGTGAAATAAATAGGACACATGTGTAAATACCGAATAGTTACTGTAGTGTGAGAAACTGATAGTGTGAACAAGGGTTCAAATGATTAAAATCCAAAGAAGTTTCTTATAGAAGCAAGAAAATGCAGAACCTGGAATTCCTATTCACTGAGCTGGGTGCAGAGTTGAAATACCTGTGATGGAGCAATAGACGATATGAGGAGCAACCTTGTCTACATCTTCATATCCCAGACCCATGGCAGTCAGTTTTCCAGGGACATAGTTTTCCACAAATACATCACAAACAGTTGCAAGCTGAAGGAAGAGGTAAAGATGAATCAGACTTCTTTAGGGACTTTACAACTTTCAACAACTTTCCCACGTGACAGAATTTCAATTTCAATAAACACATTGATTCTCACTTTGTGGCAGTTAAGAAAAATCACAGGAGAGATGAAGTAGATACAGATAAACATAAAAGCCTGGGTCAATTACTTGACACATTACGGTCAGTAAAACAGTGGCTACTAAATTTTACATAAAAACATGGTGCAATAGATTCTGCTTCCTTTGAATATTAGAAATTTTTAGGCTACATGGTCTGTCCAAATCTATTCTCAAAAGTATATGTAAAAAATTAAAATATAAGTACATAAAACATAGGAAAACATCTTTTGAAACCTTTACAAAATATCTAAATTCAATGTCATCACTACTCTCCATCCCTATTATGACATTCCTCATTACAACATGCACTTAACATATATAAACATGATTCTGAAAATGCCTTCATACTTTTAAAATGCATTCCTTCCAAAGAGTTTTAAACATCTTTAATGAGCCACTGCTTTGTTTAGTCTTGTTTTTCAAACTCAACATCATGCCCACTGAACCAGTAATTATCAAAAACAGGACCCAGATTTTGATTGTCAGAGCAATGCCATAGAAATTAGAGGACAATGAACTAATGTAAACCTTAATCTTAATTTTTTCAAAATCTTAATTGTGACTAAATACCTTTCAAAGTCATTTTTAAAGTCATAACAAAAATGATACTAGATCACCCAGAGAAATCCATTATGATAATTTTTTAATAGATCCAGATGCCTAATAACTACTCAATAAAGGGCTAGGAATATGGCTCAGTGGTTGAATGCTTGCCTAGCATGCATAGGCCCTAAGTTGATATCAGTCCTACAGAAAAAATAATTTTTATTGACATAGATTTTAGAAATATTCACATGCATACAACCTAACATAATAAGACTCTATATCAGGAGTGGGCAAACTTTTTCTACCAAGTTACAATAAATATTTTAGGCCACATATGTTTTCTGTCACATATTTTGCTTTATTTTTTCTTAAATAATCTTTAAAAGTGTAAAACTTAATCCTAATCCATAGACTATACAAAACCTAGCCTGACTTGGGTCACATAGTCTACCAACCTCTGCTGTAAATGGACATGGTTGAATTAATATAAGCTTTAGATACAAACATGTAAATAAACTGAGTGTCTGTTATTGTGTCACTACACGTGAAACAGATACATGGAATTGGCAGACAACAAAACTGGGGGCCAAGGTAGCTCTTAGGAAGCATATCAAGGAGAGAAACTCATCCACCAGAGCTCTTAAAACAGAGGCACTAGAGCCCCAGGTGACCACCTCTCAGGAGGGCATGATAAATAAATTAAGAAATAGTACAAAGCCCAAAATTCAATCCTCAGGAAGACACACAAAGGAAAAAAGAAAGAAAGAGGACAATGTTTTAGTTCATTTCTTATGGCTATAACAAAATACCTGAGGTTCAGTAATGCATAAATGAAAAAAGAAAGGAGGTTTAGGACTGAGATTATAGCTCAGTAGTAGAGAGCTTGCCTAGACATACAAGGGCCTGGGATTAATCCCCAGGACTGCATTAAAGAGACAGTTTATATACCTCACAATTTTAGAGGTTGACGAGCATAGCACCAGGATCAGCTCTGCTCTGGTGAAGATCTAGCAAACAGTATCACAGTGGCAAAAATATATGCTGGAGGGATCACACAGTGAGTTGGGAAGCCAGAAAGTAGAGAGGAGGTCAGGCTTGCTCTTTTCTAACAACTCCTGCAATGAGAACAACCAGGATCCCACAAGAACTACCTTAATCCCTTCTGAGGACTGCATCCTAATGACCTAATCACTTTACACTAGGCTTTACCTCTTAAAGGTTCCACCACCTCCCAACATGCTCACATACGGAGGACCAAACTTCCAACACATGAACTGACTGGAACACACTCACACCCTATCTAAACAACAGCAAAGACAGAAAAGTTGCACATGTGTACCTCAAATTTCAAGCAATACATGATCCCTTTCCAAACTGCAGAAGCCAACTAACAATTGAGCTGGTTCTCCTATGGACTACTCAATGCAGTATACTCCACCATAAGTCTCATTAGAAGTATTAATTTACTGTTAACAATTGTACCAAGCATTGCTTGTAGAACTGGAGGATAAGTGTTAGTACTAAATAAAACACAAACTTCAGTTATGCTGTAATTTATTCCACAAATTTTTTCTGAAGCACTATCTGCCATTTCTATAGCACTCTTTCAGGTACAAAAGAAAACAAGCTATATCATATCTAGGTTTCTATGTTAGTCAACTCTGTGTGGTACATGATGTAGTACCTTCTTTAAATGGCTTTAAATATTTTTAATTTTAAATTCCCTATGAGAGGTCTCTCAAAAAGTTAAACATGTAATTATTATATGGCCCAGAAATGCCACTCCTAAAATATAGACAACCAGAGATTCAGATACTTGTATGCAAATGTTCATAGCAGCATTATTCATAACAGCTAAAAAGTAGAAACAACTCAAGTGTCCATGAACCGATCTAAGTTATTCAGCTATAAACAGGAATGAAGCTCTGATACATGTTACAACATGAATAAACCTTCAAAATACTATATTAAGTGAAAATTGCCAAACATAAAAGTACAAATATTCTGTGAGTCCACTTACATATAAAAGAGAAAGTGGAAAGCCAAATGTGCTTGTGCACACCTGAAATCTCAGCACTCAGAAGGCTGAACCATGAGGATCACTGACAGCTCAAGGCCAGCCTGGGCGACATAATGAGTTCAAGGCCAGCCTGGGCTACATAGCAAGACACTGCCTCAAAAAGAAAAAAGAAGATAGGCAAATTCATACAGATAGAAAGTTGATTGCAGATTACTAGAGAATAATGGAAGAGGAAGTGAAGATTTACTGCTTAAAAAACACAAAGTTTTGTTTGGGGTGATGAAAATATTTCAAAAATAAATAGTAGTGGTGGTTGTACACATTGTAAATATAATTAATGCCACTGAAGTGAATGCTTATAAAACAAAAATTTTTATTTGCATATATTTTACCATAATCAAAAAAGTTTTAAACCATGTGAAGTATCTGCATTTTTCAATTTCTATAAAATCCTAGGTCACATCTCAATTCACACAAAGTATTCAAGTAGACCATAAATTTGATGTTTTGATGAAAAAAGAAAATAAATGTAATAAAAAGTTATGCTAATAGAAAACTATTCCAAATATATTAAATAAGAGAATAGCATATTTCATGCTTTTTTCTAATAATTAGTTATGCTAATAGAGAAGTATTCAAAACATACTAAGTAACAAAAAAGTAGATTATATGCAAACAGTCTATATGATATTTTCTGATATCTTGGAGATAAGAATATAAGATGTAAGACAGAGTTTGATGTGATATATAAAAATGTTAATCTTTTTGCCCATTATGCTATAGGTAGGATGTTAAGTATCCCCCAAACACCTATGTATTGGAAGGCTCAGTGTTCAGGAAGGCAGGAGCTATCAAGAAGTGGTGGATCCTGTAAGGGACAGGGCCAAGTGGGAGGTCTTTAGGTCATTGTAGGTATGCCCAGAAAAGAGATAGTAAAACCCAACCCATTTCTCTTCCTTTCTTTTACTTCCTAGCCACAAAGTGAGCAGTTTTGCTCACCATGCACTCCCACCATGATGTGTCGCCTTACCCAAAGCAAGACAGCCAATAGATCATAGACTGAAACCTCTAAAACTATGGGCAGAAATAAACCTTTTCTCTTCATAAATTGATTATATCACATATTTGTTATAGTAATGAAAAGCTGATTAATACACCCATGAACAGGTATTGCTTGTATAATTTTAAAACTTTAAAAACTAAGAAGAGCTGTGCTCAGAGAGTATTATATTATCTGGCCATACAGTGTTTTAAGAAAAATGTGGACTACAGATTTCCACTGATAAAGATGCCCACTATTTGTTTATGATTATCCAAGAGTGCATATTGCTCATTGTAATATTTATTGCTAAAATATCCCTAGAAGAGGGAATATGGAAGAAATTACTCTTTCCCTATTTATATTTATGTAAATAAATATATATTAACCACTCATGAGATAATGATGCTTAGTGAGTCTGCCATCTGGGATACTCTCTCTCTTTTCCAGGATAATCACTCACTTCAAAATTATGTATGTTTCCTATACATTCATAAAAATTCTAAATGGAGCAGTGCTGAAATCCAAGCTGTCAGAATACTCCCTCTGAATGGATATATGTGTGTAAATCAGGACACTAGCTATTCTGGCACCATCATTACTCATACTGTCTATAAGTAGAATACAAACCAACTGCCTGGGTGTAGACCAAATATTTACTGCATTTCCTTAATGCAGAAATAAAAAGAAATAGTGAAAACATAGTGAGGGAGGAAAAAAGATTTGTTTTTAATTACTAGTAATCACCTCTTCTTTATCGAGGTACTCACAAATCACCTACTAATCTATTCTAGAGTCTTGCCCAGAATAAAAAGTATAATTTTTGTATGAGTTTTAGGACCTCCCTCCATCTTTTTTCTTTTAGAAAGAGAAAAATCTTCCTTCCAGTCACATAGCAAATAAGATCTAAAATAAATCTGAACTACACAGTACCTAATTATGAGTTTGTCTCTAGATATAATTTAGAAACAGACTGGATCAGCAAGACAGAAAATGTAGGGGTAAGAAATGATACTAAAAATAAGAAATGATACTAATTTAACCACATTTATAAATAATCATAAAACAAGTCGTTTTAGTAACATGCATATATTGTGCAAATCTATGGGTTTTACTGTGACACTTCTATATCACACATTGGTCATGTCTACCCTCCCTTCTACCCTCTCTTCTTGCTCCTCTCCCCACCTCCCCCAGCTTCCTTCCAATTCCCTAGGAGTCTCTTCTGCTTTCATTTCATCTATAAAATAAGATTTTTAAATA